ATTAAATTAAATAAATATCACTCCTAAAAAGAGAAAGAACGCACAAAAGCCACTCTTTTTGTGATTATGATTTCAGAAATTGTATCTGAAATTGGGAATACTAAGTTTTACTCAATTTGTGCTTTGTCAATAAGCGGATTTTTAAGTCATAGATCCAACCTGATTTATTATATATTATTATATTTTTTTGGAATGTGCAAAAAAAGGTCTACGGTAACAATTTCGATGCATTTTAGGTATGGGAAGTTCAAATATTTAGGAAAGTTCCATTTTTTTACACTATGTATCCGATATTTTCCAAAATATTGTGAACATTGACTCATAGTTCCACTCCAGTAGGAAATGCGTTAATCTGACCTGAACTTGATTGACGAAATAAGCTCGTTGGAGCAATATGCTATTTATGAAAATACTGTCAAATCTGATGCTTATGTTGAGTATCGAAGAAACTACATAACTAATCACATGTGTTTAAATAAATTTCTATTCTGTATGGAGATGTTAATGGGATTTCACTTTTAATGCAAATTATTTTCGTTTGAAGACAAACAATTATAAGGTTTAGCTCTAGCTGCAATTATGAGTGTTGTGGATTTAGTTCTTTCAGTGTGTTACTCCTTGATGGATGTAACAAGAACAAACTAAATGTGTAGTGCTCAAGAATATTTCTAGGTGATAAAGGTGATTGTTAATATTCGAACGTTTTGCTCCTACACTGATACACATTCAATACTATATAATAAGTTTCCTTATAACATATATAACACACAAGTCATCCACTTTCTGAGAAGCATATAATTTCATAAGTATACCCTCTGTCTCTTAGATACGTTCTTTGAAAACTGATAACTATCACGCGACAGGACATGGTTTTATACATAAATCAATTAAACCAGGTTATACATAGAAGTCAGGTTATTCAAAACAAAAGGCACTTATTCACATTCTTTCAAGTAGACATTGATAGAATGACAACGCATATTAAACTATTATGGCAATAGTGAATCGAATCATCTTCCTAAGAATTATAAACAAATCCATAAAATAAATTCAGTTTTCCGAATTAAATGAATGGTTTATATGTTGTTTGCTGTGTTATATGAGTATATCAGTAAGATATACTAGTCATATTCAAACATCCATATATTAGACGATATAACTAAATATGTTTAGATTTATGCGCATAAATTATAGTCCAGTTTAAGACTTATGTGTGGTGTCTTTTTTCAAAATTATTGACTAACTAAACTCATCAAATAATAGTCTACCTGTAACAAAATATAGGTCTTCTTAGAATGCAGTTGAATCCCTAACGCTTCTAATCAATATATTATATTCGTATTAATAATTCTCACTCATTTATGCAAGTTATATTTTAAATGAACTGTTCTCGATTTACATACCTGTATTATTATGTATTTCTTAAGTCTATCATTTTTAGTAAGACGTCATATCCTCATTCTGATTCCAGTGAATGATGCGTGGGGGTACTCATGAAATATAAATCCTTACTAACATCGTGTGTATTCTCTGGCTAATGTTTGTTAGCGCTGACGAGATAAAATAAGTCGGACGCGTATATTTCACTCATTAATTCAGAAAGGAAGATGATAAGGAGATTATATTTTGAAAATAATAACAAGATGGACGCAAATTTAGAGGAATAATCAGGCTTATACAGAACGTAACGTAACACATAAAATGTAAAAACATATGGTTAAATTCACTTGATATTGTTTTACTTGAAAATATGTGGTCCATAGATTGTTTCAGGAGGACGCTTGTCACAAAGATTAGAATAACGTGAGACAGGAGTTTGGAACCAGTGGAAGTATGAATAGTCTCTAGGGGCAATGACAGTGCCATTACCGCACAATTATATTAATTTACAACTGTGGAAAGGAAAACGTAAGTAGGGAACACAGAACAACAACCATAAAATTGCTGTGATAAAATTCCCATAGATATATGTTAGGTTTGCTAATGACCTACTGAATTGGATAGATAATTGTTGTGATATATATATATATATATATATATATATATATATATATAGACAACTCTATCCTCAGAAAATCGACCCATTGACCCCGATGAAATGCACATGATATTTGGGTCACTTCTGATTGCTACCGATTGACCTTTTGCTACTTCTGAATGTCCCTTCATATCAATAATATTTAAACAGATCTAGGTAACCAGAAGCACTGTTTGTATAAAATATCTGAAGGAATGATTGTTTATTAAATATGTCCAATACAACCGATGATCAAAAACTTCTTTTCCAGATAGTTTTACCACTGAAACGGGATATATTCACAAGCGTTTTATAAGTGTACTCATCAATGCATCAAAAAAATGGAAGTGATTTGATTTCACAGAACAGCAGAAAACCATTCCAGTCCCCAAGATTTAATAAAATAATCTATTCAGTGATTTAGCATGAGATATTTTTATTAATGATAAGAAATCATTAATCCCTTAACTAGGTATTTTCGCAAATTGGACTGGATCAGTAAATGTAAAAGATAGTTTATTTCGTATTTTGAAGACTTGGCTGTTTTATTCTCCTCGTCCTAAAAGGGGTTTGGCTCAATCCTTTTGCATCTGGGTTTGCAGTCTACTCCATATCTATTTAAGAACTTAAAGGGAGGTTACAGCTTTATTAGTTTTGAGATAAGTCAAATAGATTGTATAGATTTACTAGTCACATACCTGACTTCTGAACCACTTATCATTGTTCACAAAAACACTACTAGAAACGTTTGCGACGGCTTTAGAGTCAATTATGAATGTATCATAATGCAAAATGCAAGGGATATTTTCATTTTAAGATGCTCTTACGAATTGATTGAAAAGAAATGTCTTGTACTCATTAATGGCTTTTAACCAAAGTTCCTATAATTTTACCCAAAATCATAGTTATTTGTGCACCTGTCATGAAATATTGATTCACTACGATATCTAACTCTTATATCTGATCCGTTACGCTCGATAGCCCTATGCTTTTTAAGACATACAAACATATTTGAGAACCAGGCAGTTTTTTTTGAAAAAATCTATCTAGTGCTTTCATAAGACCACAGCACAAGAAGAGATAGGTGGAGACCGTAAAGGCACTTCTAGCGTTTATGATAATCCAAAATATATGGTGAAGTAAGGAAACAGACATATACAAGTACAGTTTACATACATGATAATATATGTAAGGGAAATGTATTTGCATACAAGGTCATACAAAGAACGTAACCAGATTAGAATGACATATTTAAAGATCAGATAAAATTAAGTTATATAAGGGTGTATTTAACACAGTTTACCCCCATACACTAAACAGTTCTTCATATTTGACAAGCATATATAATTTGTAAAAATGGTAAACAACGAAATCGAAACCCTTTTGTGTGTAATTTAAGACAGTTTAGTTGCTTCAAACAACAATTACAAAACAATATGAAAAAATAATTCATGCCAGCGATTCATGAAAGTGAGCAAATTAAAACATAACCATTCAATAAAACAAATGAGTCCAACACAATGTTTATCTAACATATATCTTGAGTACAGTTGAACATTTAGATAACTATGTGATCATCGAGAATTATTAAGACACAATTTGTTTAAATTTTACAAAAATTAGCAGCACATTCAGCATTTATGTAAGAACAACAATACATTATAACAACATTCACTTAGAAGATAAAAGCAGTTAGGTACAATAAAAAAAACTGACCGAGCATAAATCAGAAGTAAGCCATCATCAAATCACATACGTAAGATAGCTAGAAGTAAATGGTTAACAAAATGAATGATATGACATTCAGATATACATATGTACTTGTAATTAGTGATTTGGAAATAAAATATAGAAACTCCTACCTGTATATTACAAATAATAACGATAATAGTAACTATCAGAAAAAGGTACTATCATTTAATGTCTATCATAACTGCAGATAACTACACTGAAGTATCGCGAAAGTGGTGTGCTTTCCTCTATTTTTCCCTACCTCAAAAAATTCCCCATAGTATATCTTATTTAATATTGAACAGTGTCATAACGAGGATTTAACTATTTTATCTAAGATTGTGTATTTGACAAAGATCTGTTGAATAGTAAGGTTAGGTATAAAATGCTTTTACCTATTTTATACTACTTGTAAGTAAGCTAAAATTGTCGATTATAAGTATGAACTTAAGGTGTATGAAAGTTAATTTTTCATAGAAATTTAACTGCCGCTCATTAGAGTAAAAATTTCATACACTCACAACACTGTAGAATAAAACTAGATACTATAATTTTTTGACTTATTTTAGATATAAGTACTTACAGTAAGTTAATTAGTTTTCATATACGTTTCGATTAAAATGCAATCATATATTTACATAATAACGTTTAAGTAATATCAAATAATAATGATGAAATAGTCTTCACAAAGGTTGTATGACTATTTTGAATTGTCACGATAATCAGTGTGTCGAATATAATGAAAGCATGGATGTATTAAATTTGACTGAAAACTTAAAGATTTGTAGTTTCGAAAATGATATACCACTTCTGTTTTTTTTAATAGCAGACAGTAATTTTCTCTTTAAATAATAAGTCATGATTATATTTCTATATTATTTCCGATAAGTGATTTCATTAAAAATGTGACCAATTCATATCAATTAAATTTACCTAGTCTACAAACGTTCATGAGAAATTAGTTATTACGTCTGGGTTACACGAATTATATGAGCCCAATTCTAGAAACTTCTTTGACAGATTACAACGCAATCATTATCAGTTTATACAATGCTAAATTACAACCACAATCTTATAAACGCTTTCTTTTTTCTATGAAATAAAAGGATGTATATTATTAAAGGTGTTTTAAAAAAATGAACACTCCAAATAGTCAACACTGTTTTGTTTTGTAAAATTGAAAAGATCATCCACTATTTGGATAACAATGATCCCTAACTATTCATATTAATCAGTATTATAAAACATAACAGATCAGTAAAACAAACGTTTATTTTTAGATTAAAAAAACGCGGAAAAAAACTTGCATAACAAATTTTAAGCAAAACATAATAATAATAATAATAATGTGAGTTTCTGGGAAGAAAAACTAAGAAGGGAACAAAAGATTATTTCTGATAAATTATCGTACCTAAACAAATAAAGCGGTGAGTGAATATTACGTAAGAGATTGTGATAAAGCAAGTCATTAATGTTTGGCGGGAAAAGAAAATGCAAATGAAATAGGATTGATTGTATTTCTATTTGTAATTTTTTTTAAACAAATATTTTGTGCAAAATTAAAAACAAAACAAAACAAAAAAAAAAGAAACTATGACGTGTAATGAAGGCACATTGAACAAAAATAATATTAAATAGCTTGTTTAACTTGTGGTAATTGAGCATTTCGTTTTCCTAAAATGTTCATAAGATTTTTACTCATATAATATGGTCTTTCAGCAGATCCGTCATTCTTCTCTAAATCTTCCACTATACAAAAAATAATGAAATAAAATAAGATTAAGAAAATGTAATAACGATTATTTATTGATGAAACTAACAGAGTAACTTATTAGTTATAATTTAATTCTAATATTTCCACTAGATAATTAGATCGTAGATTTGAGTTCAAAATAATCTGTTCACATTGTAATATATCAAACGAACTTATTGTCAACAACTATCTTATCAAAGATGATGAGAATCCTAAGATTCTTGAAGTGACAAATGTATATGCAACCACTTTGCATCTAATGATCGAACTAGATAACGACACAAGTTAATTTGATAAAACATTTCCTTCTGAAGGATGAGAAGTGATTTCCAAAGCAATTTAACTGAATCTTGTAGATACAGGATAATGTGCTTTGAGTAATGCATATCAACGAGAAAAGTCCTGAACAACATACTAACGGAAGAGAGTTAGGAAGAAAATATTAACCCTAAAGCCATAACCGAGACAAAACGTAAAGTGGAAAACCAACAGCCAATATAGATAATGGCTCTAAAAAACTGAGACTCCACTTTGCACATCCGACTAGAAGGCTTCCACCATGGTGACGGATTATTTGCTTTATTTAGAAATGACAGAAGCAGCCAGAAAATCCCTAAACAGAAAGAATCCAATCCCCCCTAGAATCAGTAGAAGCACTTATGTTCCTGAATTAAGAGGAAATACATATCTGGTCAATACATTCGGCTAAAACAAAACAGTTACATGATGATTGAGATGTGATCTAGGAAATTGTGTGACAAAAAAGCAACTAAACAGATTGCAATGTTTAAAGAGAAATAACAAGGAGACCTGGAAAATAAAATGAATTTATTCTTTCTGAAGGCTTCTCGTCAGTTACGAACAGTTTGATACTACAAGTAGTAATATGACAATAAACAAAGTGTTAACATACTTTAGTTTACTTTATGTAAACGAAATAAAGTATGTTAAAACTGTAATTTAGGGCTCTTCGCAACTGATGAGAAGTACTGAAACACAATGAATTCAATTTATCCTGCCGATCACATTTTTCCTGCCTTGTTTAAGTTTATCGGGGGATTAAGTATAATACCAAAATTGGTTAAAAATATAAAGAATTATATTAAGTACTCATATAGTATGGATTTTCATCAGTTTTTCATTGCTTTCCATATGTTCTACTGCACAGAAACAAGGAAATAATATTGGGAAAATGTATTGCTGATAAGATTATTTATCAATGAAAATAGAAGTTTTATGTTATCGGTTTAGCTTTATGAATAACACACCAGTTAGAGTGAAATTGTAATACTTTGATGGAATTCACTAAGCAATGACTATTTACCAACTTGTCTAAGAAAACGTACATTGTCAAAAATTCAAAATAATATGCGAAAATATTACGCATTATTACGGTAGTTGTAGAGTCACCATACGAAAGTATTGGGTTAGAGGGGCTTATATAAGAATATTTGCAACGTAATTTTGAAAGACATTATTATGATACTAAATACTTGATATTGTTGTGAATATATGATGATAGACAGGAAACCAGTGAACTTGACTACACAATAACTAATTTCCATTGACAAATGTCAAAGTTTTTTTCAACAACCGAAGATGAAAATCCAGAAATTAACTAAATGAGAAATATCCTCGCCTATTTTAGTTTTTAAGGCCAAACTATATAATTACACTAATGAACTAAGGAATCATGTAACAAGATGCAACCAAACAATAATTAAGAATATAAAGAATGTTATTAAGTGCTTACAAAAGCAAAGAAATATTGTATCGACACCCATTTCAAAAACACTTGAGAATAATGACGCCACAAGGTAAGATGCAAGTATGATAATCTAAAAATGTATAACAAAAAGAATATGGAACACGTTTTACAGTAAACCAAATGAAATAAATAATATATCAAGATAGATAGTGTACATTACGTACGCGACATAACAATTTCCTTAAACTTAGGTCTATAATGTATTATAACCTCTTGGAACAAAAAGTAATGATTTATCATAAATTAAAGAATATGCCAGAAAGGATTTCGTAATCCCCCCTAAACCACTTTGAACAACCTATTTTTAGTCAAAATACTAATTAAGTTTTTTTATTTTATGATTACTTGACGTGTATTTTCATACTCGCGCAGCTCTATTCCTTCCTCTAAGCAATGAGGTAAAATATTTCTTCATCTCTTCTTTCCGAACTAATTTTTTAAATGTTTAGCCTTTCTCGCTATCACAGATGCTATTAATATATAAACGATCTTACTAGTAATCTTGTTCATTTCTTCAAGCTGTATTGATGTGGTATAACATCGTGAGCTAATACACATTTATGCTACGTTCTAAATTGTCCATATGAGTGACTGACTGAACATGTATGAATACATCTTATTTTGCTTTAAAAAATGTCAAGTAGAGGTTTGTAGATCAGGTGAATGATTTCGGTAGACAAAAAGGATGCCCTCTTCATTTTCGCCTGAACAAACATTGATTTGCGGCCAAACGTCATGACATATCCTTGCTTATAACAATTCATGTAAACAACTGTGAACATACATTCGATTGAGAAAATATTGAGATCTCGAATACAGGTAATTCTAAAAACACCAGAGAATTTTTAGAAGCTTGGCACTTAGGCTAATCTACAATCAACAAGCACACTGAAATAGATTCAATTTATTAACCAATCATAATAATTATGGACAAATATAGGACCGAAAATCAAACAAATGGGAGATATAATCAAAATAAAGGAGCAAACAATGATAGGTTAAATGTCAACAATAACCAATCAAGATGGACGTCTATAAAACAGGCTGTGAGTCACACGCGGAGAAATTCGAATACTTCACTTCTACCTGAATTTCGTGCTGATGTTGTTGTTCAGAAGAACGATGGAAGCTCCACGACCAAACCATCTAGTTCAGAGAACATAACTCCGCCAAAATGTCAAGTATACAGCAACTTTGAAATTATTGTCTAAACCCAAATTCGAACAAGCAATACAACATACAACAAATGTACAAAATAACTGAGTGTTATGTATGAATTCATGAAAGAAAAGAACAATGAAAATATTCGTCATGTCATGATGAAAGAAATCTTGAACCAATTAAAAGATGAAATAAACATGCAGTATTTAAAAGTACATCAAAAATAAGAAAGTGAAACTATAAACAAATACAATAATAAGATGTAACTTACACCCAATGGCACGAATGCATAATGAAGATTAGAAGTAAACGCGTCACTTAGAAAGTCATTCCCTTTGAACAATATACCTTCCAAATAGACATAAGCCATACCACCTGAATTCAAAAAAATTATGATCCATTTTAGATGGCAAACAACAGGAAAAAATAACTAGTAACACAAAGTGAAATATTAATAGTTGAAATGGTTACATACAATCTTAATGGTATTATTCTTCATATCCACCAGAGAATGAATGGATTAAATGAATTAGTTTAGACAACATTGTGAATTGATAGTAACCATTACTGTACAATGATACAAACCATGGTATGAAGTCTCAAATTTAGCATTTTATAAACTAACAATGAATACAACACAGAAAATTACTGTGTGAGATCCATGCATGATACGCGTAACATAGAAATTTTTAAATGAGACTTGACAGCATGCTAATACACAGAAGACATTATATAAAATTTTGAATTGTCATAGTAGAAATCACTTACGCTTAACGATGATAAACATTCGGGTGACCAAACAAGGCCACCACGAAGAATGAAATAAAGGTCAACTATAAAAATACAACAATTATTTTCAATAGAAATTTGTATAGTATTGTTATTGGTTAAGTTTTTAACAACTTGTTTCAACAGATCCCAAGGTTAATTTATTATAATCAGCTTAAGTAGTGAAATCTTTATTCGGTAAAGTCGGATTCAAGTATTAATGATCATTATGAATACTATTTATCTTTCATAACCAAACTAACCAATAACTGATTTCTGAAGGATATCAACAACAATTAATTCTTTCTTTTTAGAATAGGTCAAATAGAAGTTATTTTTTCCCGAACACATTCTCAAGAAATATACCAATCAGATTTATACCTTATCGTTCTTGCATATTTATTATTAATAGAACAAAACAGTTAGTTAAAATAACCCATTGTGTCATTTCAGTGAAGAAATTTTCTTCGCTGAATTCTTTTTACTTTCATTCAAAAAAGTTTGTAAAACTGTCATTACAGACACCGCTTATACAAAACTGTACAGGAAATGTCCTTATTAAACCTTAAAATGAACCAGTAATACAATGTTATAGTACAGTAAAAAAATAACCCTACTCAAATATTATTTAGCCATGTTCACATAAAATTTAAATATATTCACTTACCAACAATACTGACAACAACAAGTTTCCCAATAAATAAAATAAAATCAGTCACTTTATCGACCACAAATAGTCTATGCATAGAAAAACAAGAGATAATAAAACTACGTATGAGAGTCGTTATCAAACTGTTACAAAGAGAATAAACAGTAAGTTTCCCTTGAAAATACTGCAGATGAGTTTTCAGCAGAAAGGATATATATATAAACAATAGATCACCTAAGCTTTGCACACATCCAGTGCCAAAAAAACAAATGTCGAGAAAATTTTCTTCCCTGAATTATCTTAATTTTTCTCCAATCATACAAGTATTCATATGTGAAATCAGCCAATAAACTACACGTTTCCCACTAACCAAATTGAGGATTGAATGGGTTTCAAACATGAGACATAATAATTGATTATTTTCACTTAGAAATTAATTTATATTTATTGAAACAAGTGATCGATTAATACAAAGGTGTTTAGTAATAAAGCATACACTAGTTATTCCAATATGAGCAGCCAGATTATTATTATAAGCATTATTCAATATCATATTTTTAATACAACATAGAATTGTCAGCACAAAGTATTTCAACAAGTTTCCGTCTCATACTTCTTGGTCGAACCTAACGATAAATATTGAGCAATCGCCAGTTAGAAGTTAGAAGTTTAGTAAATCGACATCTAAATAATGTACATTCTTTTCGCTGCATATTGCTAACAACCACGATATTTCTGATTGGGTCTTTTGTAACTTATACGATGAATGGTTATACACCTTTCAGAAACTCACTTGAATAGGTTAGGCGATTAATAACCATAATAACGTATTAAAACAAACAAAATTACATAGCTTGTTGAAATATCTACATGTCAGGAACAGATAGCTTAGATGTTCAAGCTACTCAAAATAACTGAAGTTTAAAGTGATCTGTACCAATTTGTACATATTTCTCGACTTTTTCAAATACATATAACTATAGTTATGATATATAAATTACATTGATAAATATTTCATAGCTCTTATCCTACGTATTCGATAGTAAAACAGTGAACTTGAAAAAACACATCGTAAATACAGATTTCGGGAAAAAATATTATTTAAAAAACAGGAAACATTTACAATCTCTAACATTATTTTACAATTTACAAGAGGTGACTTTAAAAGATAATTTACAAAATGAAATAAATAAATAAATGTGATTGACACTAAATATAAACAAACGACAGAACAATGAAATAGTAAAGACTCATTGAACAAAAAATGTTTTCTTTAAAATAAGGAAAAATAAACATGTGGATATATTGAACTTATATAGAATAATCTATTTTAAATAAAAATTTTATATACTATGTTCATATACATTTACCTGACTACATTGCGCGCAAGTAAAGACAATGCTGAACGAGAGGCTGAACAAAAACTTTGACCATAGATAGCAATCTAAATGGGATTTTCAAGAATAAAGAAAAAAAATGTACTAAGATAAATATTGTTTCCACTTAGAAAGTTTACTTTTGTATATTTTACGGTGAAGCATAGCGATAATAATAATTCCTGTTTTACAGTTCATATGTATGCAAAGTATCTGTTTAGGGACAATTAAAGAAACTTGAAAATACAAAAAAAAAACTTATTATAAACCGATTTTCAATAACACCTATTGATTGTGACGTTAAGGAAAATTCATCCTCGAAATCAAATCTGAAAGCTTTTCTAGATTCTAGTAAACCAAATAAGAATGAACATTCAATTAATCGATATTCAATTCATAATCAATTCACAGTTGTTGTACATCCATAATAACGCAGTAGCAATTTCAACAAAGTATGTGGATGAAAGCATAGAACAATCTATTATTTCTGATCAAACGACAAACTACAGAATTATCTACGATATTGGATGTTAAATCGCCAATTAGATAGTTCTAGAAAAACCCCCTATATACTGTCGGTAACTACTGAGTATAATATTATCTTAAGGTTTCAGTACAAAACATGAAATGTACGTCACTAACACTCATCAGTCACGTTTTAATATTTTGTTCTCAATGAGTAGAAAGCTGAATCATTTAATTGTGTATCAAAAAGTTAAAAATGGACTCGAACAGTGCATTAAAAGTTATTTAGAATGTTTACATTGTATGCTAGAAAAAGGTATTCTAACGTGTACATACATGAAAGAAAATACACACAGACCATAAACTAACTATAGATTTTACAGGCCACAGTAATCATCAATGTAAGGATGAACTTATAAATCAAGAAAATGTTATGAACAGATAAAATGGAGAATTTCCTAGCTGGAAACGATTTTTCTGTGATTACACTGATAAACAATATGCACAACATGTAAACAAAACACAGAAAACCTATATTCCAATTTACAATCCAATAACCTTTATTTATGTTAAAAATGAATGATCACAACTGTTAATATCTAATACCGGTCAATGAATTTTGGCATCGCTAGTTTACTAAATATACTACAGTTAACTTCTTCCATTTTTTGCAAAACATAATTAGACAATCATACGAAGGATTCTGCAGTAAAACTAACCCTGGTACGGCCGAGATCGGGGGAAGTCAGTTCTCTTCGAAATGCTCTCATATGGCCACGTGTATACAGCCATCACCAGAGTAGTCCGACTTACTGTCTTCTCGCGGCAGAGGTGTTGTTTGAGAAGTTGAGAGGACGAAAAACGAATATCCGGAACTTGAACTGGGTTAGTGGATACTGTGCATCCGCCTAGGGAATTCGGGAAACCCTGATTCAAACTAATGGTGCACATGGGGTCCAGAGTCCTAAAGAAACAAATGGAGTATGAACCAATTGTTGGTCACCGGCTACCATGTGACTGCATCTTCTTACGCTGCCTCACTGTCTTGTGGATTAAACCCTTAGGTCAAAGATTCGCAGTGTGGCCCCTGAAGAAAACCACTTGCTTCAGTTCGGGCACCCAAGCAGTATCCCAGTTCTCACATAAATCGAATGATTTATGTGGTGCATATGTGTTTGGTGCCTCCTTGTACCATTGTTTATGTGTTGAAATAAATAAACTAACCCAAATGTTTTAGATACAAAGTCGATTAAGAAGCTAAGATCAATGTATTTTCGAAATGTTTGACAACCTCTCCATGTATATACATATTTGTGCTATAATCAAATAGGTCGATAAAAACAAAACATGATAATATAGTTCTTATTATGAACAGGTAGAACGAGGGTATAGAAAAATATATATGAAGTCGAGTTACCTAAGTGAATTTATTTTGCAACCGCTTTCACAAGCAACTTTTAGTATTGTATCACACTCGTAAACTATGGTAATCACAAAGTTATCTTCTAAAATTTAGCCCTATGGTTCATGTTTAACATTTAAACTACTGACCGAATGTAGATTTTGCAAATTACATATACACACAAAATTGTAAACTATGTATATGTTTGAAAAAAAAGTCACTTCGAATAAATAATAAATAGATTGTAAATAACGCATAAACGTTTTCACAAGTTAAAAATCGACATAGTTGACAGCGAATGAATAGGAAGAAAGACAAAAGGATCATTAATTATGTGAACATTAGAAAAGAGAATGTATATTAATGTGTTCATGATTTAAAATCATGAATAAGTACGGACGTAATATAATTGAAACTCATTGAACTACATTTCAAAAACACTTAGTGTATTACTAGAAAATAGAAACTTACCATAATAAAAGCATTTCTATTAAGAAATCTTAGAAATTTCTCAAGTAGCCAAAAACAACAACTTAAACATTTCAAGAGAAAATCTGTAACAGGATTATTAGCTTTCTTCAATTTTGCATTGATATATTCAAGTGTAACACGTAGCCATTGTAATAAAGCAATTAGAAACGATCCTAATGCTAATGAACCAGTATGATAAAAGGTTGATCGAAATAGACTTGTTATTAATGGACATTTTGATGAAGATTTTTGATTATGAGACGAAAAGTAGTATTCAGCAAATGTTCCTGCTAAAGTCATTTGTGTTAAGGATTTGACAAAATTGATTAACCAAAAAAACATGAATAAATTGAAAAATTGTAGGTAGATAGTATATCTAAAATAGAAAAAAGAACAGCAAAAAGTATAAATATATATGTGATTGTGTGAAGTAGAATTTAATTTAAGAACTGTAGTTGTGATTTTAACACAGTAACTATTTATTATCTAAATAAATTAAAGGAGGATTGAAAAAGTTTAATATCAAAGACTATATATATCAGTTTGCATTAATATACTATGAGGGTGGAGAGAATCCGCTCTCCCCATCGAAATGCTCTCACATGGCCACGCGTATACAGCTATCGCCAGGGACGTTCGACGCTTTAACTGGGTTGGTGGAAACTGATGGTCCACCTAGGAGAATTGGGGAAACCTGATTCGAACCATGGTGTACATGGGCTCTAGGATCCTGAAGGAATAAATGGTGTCTGAACCAATTGTTGGTCACCGGCTACCATGGGAGTGCATCTCCTTACGTTGCTCCACTACCTTGTGGATTGGACCTGTAGGTCAAAAGCTTGGGGAGTAGCCTGCTTGTACCAGTGATTATGTGTTTAAATAAATAAATAAACTATGTTTCATTTAAAGACAATGAATTTTATGAAGATCATACAAACAGGAGTTTCGTTGATTAGACAAATTTATTGCATGATAGAAATCCCTTGGCATAATTGTATAGTCTAAATATAAAGTTAACTAACCGAGATATCAAGATCGAATCAATATATTGCAATATATTGCAATATATATATTTCAATATATATTCAATATATTACAAAACATAAAACATCACGAAATGAACCACGAGAAGTATTACAAGTTAATTGTGTTTTAAAATTTCGATTGATGAAATTTCAATTAACTGTTTATCAGTAATGAAAACAATAGACATCCTGTGTGTGATTGACAATGGTAACGAGAGCAAAACGTAAAGGAATAGCATGATGACTCGTCGTACACAAGACAGTGGGTGAATATCTGAGTTTACAATGAATAGTACTGTATCGCTAACTTAGATTATAATACAATAACTTACTTCCGGTCTCCATAATACAGAAAACGACAAGCTTTGCCAGCTGAATTGTTTTGCTACAATAAGACGAATCGGTCGAAAAACAGAAAAAAAGTAATGCTTTTCATTGACATGTTGTGGTAAAGAATACAAATAAATTTTTAATAACTATTAATTTATTAATAATAAATGTTGTAGTGAAGTGCTTCAAGTTGAACAAATACTCTAAAGCACATTCATAATTCTTATCTTAAGCCGTTTGATTACCATTATTGTACTTATCTTCTTATTGAATCGTGATATCTTAAGTCTCAGATCACGGCAAAAGATTAATAAAGTCTACTGCGGATAACAAGTACTGGACTATGGGATAGATAAACAACGAAATGACATTCAACAGGCACACAGGACATTTGATTCATGTGCGGGCTTTCGGTGTACCATTTTCATTATTTGATGAGTGCCAAGATTTATCAAACACTGACGGTCAGTCGCACAAAATTAACATAAACTCAATTAAACAGGATCAACTACTGAGTTACTAAGACGTATGAAACAATGAAGGGAACGATAATCTATTTCAATAATATTAGGTTGTGATAAATAAAATAAAGCGCACAAAAATTTTATCCTAATAAACTTAAATCTCATACTGTGACACACTAGTAGAAATCATTTTGAAGAATCTATGAATGAAACAAAAGAAAGCATGTATCACATTGAATATATAATTAATCTTACTAAAGGATCACATGGGATAAGTTGAAAAATTTCTCTTATATCATTTCTAGCCTTATCTCCAAATCCAGGAGTTACTGTAGGATCATCATTCATAATTTTAGTCCCAACAGGATCAGATATTGTTCGCAATGAAATAGCCACAAATAAAACTTGAGCAATAACAATCAATTCAAGAATGAACGGTAGTATTGGCCAAAATAATACAGATGTCATAGTTGAAACTGCTCTGAAAGAAATATGTCGGAAAAATCATAGACCATATTCATTTTATTATTTATCATAATTCTATATCTTTTTAAACTAAAACGGGAAAAATGTGAAATTATATCTGTCAGTGGAAGTGGATAACAGAAACTTGAGCACAAGTAAACATACTTGCTTGCTTCGTTTAATATTGCAATAGCCACAAGAATACGTTTGCGTAAAAATATTAATATCAGAAGTATGATCACCAGTAGAATAGCAAAAATAATTCCTACAAGTGAAAAAAGGTATTACTTATTAGTCAAAGAATATGAAAACGTTTGAATCATACCAACAACAACGCACCTGAAAACATCTCATTGAAATTAAGCGGACTAACTGATTCAACCTACAGTTTACATCAAATCGAACCATCCTTAAAGGTAATTCGATTAGTTAGATGTTAGTGACTAATGAGTACTGACCAAATTTTCAAGATGCCTTGCAAACGGTGGTTTAAGTCCCTGACGGACTTAAGAAAACAAAAATAATAAACATTTTATAAAATATATAACTAACCTAATGCAAGCCATGTCGATGCTAAACGGAAATACGATGCGATATCCAAAGAGAATTCAAGGTCATTAGAACCCTCAGTTGTTTTACGTAGTACACTCCATCTGTAAAAACAAAACCCAGTGCCTAAAAGTAAAAAAAATCAATGATTAAAACTAAAAAATGATAACTTCTCAATGATAGTTTGAGAAACTTCATGATTACAACGATATAATGAAAGAGAACAAAAAATGATTCACTAAAAGTACAATTTAAGATGAAACTAAATGAATATTTTGTGTGATCAACTTTGAATTATTTGAAAAGGTTAGTAAAATAATGTGAATAGTTACATCCTAATGTTTACAAGTTAAATACTTTCAATAATAAGTTATATGAATGGGTAATTTTGTTTATATACATATAGCTGAAGTCATAGGAACTCGTACACATAACCCCAATTTATGTGTACAGAAGAAATTCGTAACCCCCCTATCCCTTCCATGGCCAGTTATAACTTAACTAACGATTTTTTTAAAAAAATTATTATTATTACTATTTATTTATTTTATTCTATTTTTGTTACCATTAGCCTTATTTTCACATCTAGTATTTGTTTCTAATTTTTCACCTCTTGCCGTTTGTATTCTTCACTATCTAATTATTTACACACTTAATATTACGTAATGATTTTAATGCTTTATGATGACTATTCCAAGTCTATTTACCCACGTTTGACCTTCTATTTCCAACGTTTAACTATTGATAAGACTTTTGTTATTGTGTTTTATTATTCTTAGCACTATCAGTATACCTGTCTTCCTACTATCAACTTGTATTTTTACTTACTATGTGTAGTGACTTCTATTTCACTTTGATTAGTGACCCATATTGTCTTGATTGGTTTAACATTTTCGTATATTAGAGTAAAGCCTAATGATGATCTAATTGAAAACAATTGTTCGCTTATATGTGTTGTTCTATATACAAAGGAGACCAATAATATCTAGAAAAGAATCTTGTAATGCTAATTACAAAAATCTGTTTCTTTTTTTTTGAACATATCGACTAAAATGTAAACACTGGATTAAAGAATATATTGAAATTGATCAGTAATTTATTATAATAATATCTTTATGAAAAATGATAATTAAAATTATTAAATATATATGTTATACAATAGTTAAACTATTTATTTATTAATGAATAACTTGATAAAGATATAATTCTACAACAACAAAAATTAAAACTATTTGAATACCAAGAATATAGACATAAAATAAACGATAATATGCCATTATCATTTCACCGACAGAATCATGAGTCCATTTCGGAACTAAATAAATACTGTGCATAAGCAAATAATAATAATAATAATAATAATAATAATAATATTAATAATTAGAGTGGGTATGCAAAGTATGAAATCGATATCACGAATTACTTATTTACCAGTAATAATACTATGAGGTATTGTGAAATTAATGGAAACAAAATTGATTGTACACACGTACATCGATCTAATTTCATGCTATATATATATATATATATATATATATATATATATATATATATATATATATATATATATATATATATATATAATGTATAAATCGAATGAAAACGGCGATCATACGTCAAAATTACTATCGTGATAACTAACTAACCGATAAGAAATGAAGATGACGTTTAGGAATAAACACATGGCATACAGACTTTGATAAATACGAATTAATATGGGAATTTCTAAGTGATAACATTTTGAATCCACAAATTTGACAAAAACAAAGCAGAATGTACAGCCTTCAGTTGTTTACATACAAACAAAATCTTTTAACTGATCATATAATGATCATTATTTAACTAAACAATCGCTATTAAGAACGGACTAATTAATTTTTAACATAGATAATTTTTTTCTAAGTTAAAAAGAGCAAACATGAAAAATACTGTCTCTTTGTTATGAATAACAATAATTAGACAAAAGAGTATGACAAAAATTACTTATTTAAATCGAAGACAATAATTACCGAAAGAAAACAGGGCGACAAACAGAATTAATGAAGTCCAAACCATAACTGATGCACAACATCGTAATAAAACGATCCAACAGAATGATAACACCACAGATACTGAAATACATCTGGAAATAAAATCATAAACATGATAAATAAAGTTTATTTAATATGTGAGAAATGTGTATGCAACGGAATCTTAAATTACCAGAAAAACAAGAAAAATCATCAAAAACACACTAACAAAATAAATATTAACACGTAAATAATTTTTTTCAAAAAAACACATCGGAAACTGTGTTTAACATCGTAACTATAAAAGGCATTTAATAATTCATATTTTATTGTTATAAACTGTTACTCTCAAACTCAATGTGCCTAACATAATTAATCTATAGTCAGTTACATAAACGAATTATAAGATTTTTTGGCTTACGAGAACTGTACTTAAGAACTACGTTTGCACAGAATTTAATTGGCGGATTTGATTGAGTAAAATGGTATTAAACAGAAAACAATACAAAGCTCAGGTATTCTATGAAGAAAAACAAGCCTTGAGAAGGATTTTAAGGAAGTAACTAAAGGTTTACTTATCTCAAATACTTAGTTTTATTAATAGGCTGAAGGTGGTCGGTAAAAAACTTTAGATCGAGGTTTCGTGCCAAGGAGCACCTGTAATATTCAGGGAATAGATGCTACTTGTGGGATTTGAACTCGGATCACGGACACAAGTATTTAGCTATCCAATATCTGATAGGACAAAAATATTTATAACTGACTGATCACTAGGTAGTGACGAATGTCATGCGTGTTCATGTACGTAGGTTCATATCCTACAAGAAGCATTAAATCCTTCAAGATTGTAGATGGACCTTGATGACGAGTGGTAACTGGCATGAAACTTATATTCAGAGTCTTATGCCAACAACCACTAACCACCTAACATCCTGCCATTGTGCACAATGTCGATTCACTCAAAGAAGTGGCCACTTCAACTTGATCGGAAGAATACGATCAGCACCAAAGAACTGGACACCTATGATTCCGGTCACTACAAAGTAATTAATTATAAAACCTAGGTTAATCCCAAAGGTAGAAGAAACTCGTTTACTGATGGGGCAGAATCTTAAAACCACCCATTAGTGAGATTTAAAGCATCATGAAAGGGTGAATAAAAGGTCGTAAAGCTAAACATTAAAAACTCGAGTGTTTTAAGTAAGAAAGATGTGACGGAAATTTACAAGAAAACGGACGGTCCAGGAAAAATTCGCAGCTCATGAATATTCTAATATGATTATATTTAACGTTGGGTTAATGAAATATACAAATATATTCAACGTATGCATGGATTATCATATTTTGTTTCACTAATTATATGGCACGTTTCATCGCTAAACATTATCTATATCACTGAAGATGATCGGTCATAAGAAACTTTTGAAAAAAACGAAGACTTTATATGCATAAATTATGCTACAAAAGAGTTTGATAATCTGAGTGTACTATATCAGTTGTTTATTTTTCTTTTAAAACAAAGTGCACATACCAGAAAGAAAAACAAATTCATACATACAAACACACAAAGTGCATCACAGTTTCATAATAATAATTTCACAATATAATTACACTAAAGACAAATGTAAATAGTTATCGAATATCATTTAAAAAAGTAAATGCCTTTTGGAGATATTTCAGTGAAGAAAATTTTCTTTCTGCCGATATCGTTTTCGTAAGCCGTACAATCGTTTGTGTAAGTTATTTTTATAGTAAGTAGTCTACTGTAAAACAGAGTAGTGTTAAAAAATTATCAACGATAGTCAAACGTATTCAAGTATCGGATGTAAAAGTCTATGAAGATGAAGTGGTGTTGGGTAGTAGTAGTAGTAGTAGTATAATAAAGTAATCAAAAATTGTCAAAAGATATCAAGTATTAAATAAAATGAATCTATAAATGAATGTTATTTCAGAGTAATTAAAGTCATTGAAAGTTGTCCAGGTACTGAATAAAATGGATGTTGTATCATTTAGAAAAGTAATCAAAATTATCAAGAAATAAGGTTGCGTAATAGTTTGGAAGTATTAAGAATTAATAATCTAAATAATAAATGCCGAAACCAACTGTCGACTTTACAAAGAAGAAGGTGAAGACTAAGATAATAATGACCACTTATAGTTTGTAAGATTAGGAGGGGCATTAAGACCATGGAAGAATAAAGGGTCGAGTCTAGTTCTTTTGTACAGAGAAGTCGGGCTTGAAATTATAGATTGATATAGCTTTAGCTTTCTACAAATTGCTCATCAAAAACTTCTCTAGGCCAGTTCTTATAACTCTGTAGATGATCTTGGTGGTATATGATCATTGATTTGTGTAAGGGCTGTGGTACTGGCCGGGTGCCCACTGAGGTGGCTCAAAACGGCAGTTTACCCTTGACACTTCCCTGAATTAGTTTCTTACTAGGAAAAAGAATTCGGAGGTCCGATAAATCAGATATTTTTCTCGGGGATCTAAACATTCTGTTCTAAAGTATCTCGCCAGTCGTACCTCCCCCGAGTTCAATGTTCATCAATAAAATTTTCCCCGATACAGTGAGAGTACTTTCAATTTGACGTTTTGGTTTCAGGCTACTATTAATGAGGCTGCTTCGGTTTGGGCACCCGGGCAGTATCACAGCCCTCACACATATCAAATGAGATTTGTGTGGCGCATATGTATTTGGTGCCTCCTTGTACCAATATCTATGTGTTAAAATAAATAATTAATTAATTAATGAGCCTGGACAGAAAACCACTCTCCAGAAGTGTTTGTCAGAATCTGTGCATACTCGTGAGGATAGAGAATGGACTAAATTTCCCTTCCTACTCAACGGCACCCAACCCTGGAAGTTCATATAATTCCTGTACCAGGTTGGCTTTCTGTATATCGATCGTCGTACGGGCCCATCTGGTCTTCGTTTCAATAAAATATCAAAAAAATGAATTTCTAACCTCAACTCCGATTTTATTATGAACGTGGTCGAATAGTGGTAATTGTTGAACTCGTGTAACATTTATTTAAGATCACTGATACCATTACAGATGATAAAGGTATCATCCGCATATCCCTGAGAAAAATAAAATTTACTGATTATGTCTCTAAGATTATTGTTCTCCTGGTTGACTACAAATTTCTGTTCAAAGACCCAATGAAGATCTCATTGTAACATCATTTGTCTGTAGAAATCGTCTGTAAATTTAAACTGCACGTTAGAAATTCAAGTAATTTAATATATTAATTACCATGAGTGAATAGATATTTATTTGACTACAGTAGACTCTAACATGAGTTTGGCCTCACGTTTAGAAAACAACTTACTATCTTATCTTATAATCTTATTTGAAGCTCAGCTGAATATACCTGCATCCCGGAGTTGATTTTCACTTTGGGGGATCAAACAGAGCACTTTTTGCTTCAAAACGCCATCGCGTTATCCACATAGCTAATGAGTCCAGATAGCGACTCATATACTCGTATGAACCCTTACAGATTAAATTACTCCATCTTAATTTTGTACAAGGAAAAAATCCTTTCATTTCTACTGCATTATTATGAGAACAGTACCTTAATAAACAAAGTAGAACAATGATACCTAATTCATAATACTGCAATCAAACGAGTCATAATAATTTCTGGACAGAAAGCGATGAATTGGTCCACAAACTTGGAAAATCAATAACAAAAAATCTGTAAACAAATTGACAGGAACAAAAATAAGTGAGACCAAACACAGGTGTTTCCCAGACTAACTTGTCAAATTTCCAGTCAACACAACAACGAGGAATCAACAAGAATAGATTTACTTATACTGAATGAACAATATAAAGAAACAGTTAAAAAGCAATTGAAATCGAAGGAGAAAATACCACATTCAAGATTTTGAAGAAAATGAAGGGATCCATATAGGCTAGTACAACCGATATTACACCACTGCCTAAATTGGAGAAAGTTTGTAAATTACCACAAAAAGACTGTATTTTCTGACAAGGTAAGCTCAAAAAATAAATGACGTCAATGACTGATCCTAGGATCCAATCTAACTGTTCTTGGACTTCTCCTTAGTAATCAAAATGATCCTGAATAAGTGCCTATGTATGTGATACATGTAATAAGAGGTTTTGTGATGCTTTCCAATACTACGGAACAGTCAATAAAGATCTAGTTAACATAAAGAAAAGCCTGAAAGTATCCGGATTCCTAAATTACCAGATAAATCATAAGAAAACCTACCCAAAAAAACTAGAAATTAAATCAAAACAGTGATGCTTACACTAATATAACATGCCAGGTTTGGCTTAGATCAGCAACAACTTTTTCAAAGAATGTAGTAAATTCCAACACCAATCTGAAAATAAACAAGAAATATTGGGAATACAGCCGAACAATAAAAAAACAGGATTTAGTCAATAACTAACTCAACATAAATCTATAGATCTAACATTCAGACAAAGGATATGTGCTTAAAGTTGTAGTGGAAATACTCTCTTTAATGTAAGACTGCATGCATAATCTTCTATCACGGGTTTCGTGATTACATACAAACACAATATATATTGAATCCGAACGTTCCTAACCGATTAAATTCAATTATAATTCACATTTTCTTTTCAAAAGAACTCCGTATGCAATCCATTTCGCATTACGATAATTAACGAATATGTGAGCACATTAATAATCATAGGAAGTTAGATAGCACAACATAAATATTTCTAAAATGTAAGTATAACAATTGACTCTGAAAAGTATATCATGCATCACCAATGTTAGTATGCTATTTGAAAAAGATAATGCAGATGGGGAATACACGAAGTTGACACTTTTAGTTGTGAATACTAATAGTGACAGAATATAGCAGTTTGTTGTCTTGATTCTTAGATATTATTAGAAATAAGATAAATAGAGAAACAGACTTAGTAGTTCAAGTGACAAGTTATGTGAGAAAGATCAAAACTGTCGAGGGTAATCTCCAAACCAATTCAAATATAAGGATGAATAAATTTTAGTGGTCATTTCGTTATAAATTTACAATTATAAATATTGGATTATTAGCTTTCGTTGTAGTGGTTATTAAGAAATTAAAGGATAGCAATTTGTAGTGCAGTAATGTGATTTTATTCAAACATTCGTAGATCAAACGTTGTAACTGTAAACGAAAAATTTATTTACCACCGAAGAATGAAGACTCAGTGAGTTTTTTAAAAAATACTAGATATGGAATTGAAGGAAAGAAACTTGTACTCATAAACCGTGGATGAAATGTATAGTGACCATAGTTATTTAACTCATTTGATAAGAATAAGTAATAAAACAGAAAGGTGAAGTCCAAAAACTTTGCACATTTCCTTCAGCTTGACAGGTCCAATAATATCGCGTATTACTTTTACGGAAGCATATTGTTTAGAAAAGCCATGTTATAACCCGATTTGTTACGCTGTACAAAGTAATACATGGAGATTGTTTTCGAGATACCAGTCCTAAAGTAAGTCTATAGTCTTTTACGACTACTTAAGCTTGTCCACATCAACGAGCGTCACTCCATTCAGTAAATAAGTCCATTTTGAAATGCTCGCTTCCAAGGATTTCATTTTTACCGCACCACAACCACTTTGTTTTTGTGTATGCGAGCGCATTTTAAACTATTGTCTAATAATAATGATCAGTTGAATTTTATTTCCCTCTAAAATAAACAATTAACAAGTGCTTAAAACTCACTGATTTGATGTAATCAAATAGTGGCAAACGAGTTCAAAGAGAAATTTACAGTTTTAAAATCAACTTCTTGGACCATTTGGAGAATTTTGCAAGCTATTAGTAAAATTGGGATTTTCTGTAGCATGAAGAAACAATCTTAAGCTGGGTAAGATCTTACATAATCACCGAATAACAGCTTGGGAAAACACAAAGCAGTAGAAACACCAAAGGAACAAAGCTTTCTGGAGAAATAAACCAAAGAACAAACAAACTAAATGTCAAAATGATTAAGAGTATTCTTACTTTCCCAAATATTCATGGACATATAGAACCGGACTAAATTAGATAATATGAACCTTTAGGGTAATTAGTTTGAATATATGTGACATACATAACTAGACAGAAAATAAAACACACTTATATTGGTTTCGGGATAAATACCACAAAAGTTGTCATCTCGACAGCTATATATATTCTCTTAATTCAACCAAGTATTGTTAACGGAACATATAATGGATTAAAACATGTTCTGTCCAGGCCTACTTCTACCAAATCGGAGCTAAACAAAATCGGAGAAGACTCTAGGATCTCCTCGTGTAACATTATATAAGTAGTAACGTTTTTCTTACTGTGATTCACTTCCATTCGACTTGGTTCATTTGAAAAATAATTACGTACCTGCCCAAACCTTGTTCTAATTTTGGGAACAAGTCGAGTGAGGAAGTGTCCGAAAAAACACTAAGCAAAAAGAGTAGCTGGATCGCATAAGGAAAGACTTGACAAATATACGACAGATTACACATTATGTTAGCAGTACTACATAGCAGATCGTCGAAAAAAAATGGAATGAACAACACAAAATACTGCATAAAATGATATTGGGTTACGTTGTCACACTCTTAAAGAGCACAGAAAAAGAAATGTTCAAGAATCAAGGAAAGTGGGAATAGTAACGATAATTAATAGTAAATAATTTAACGTTTTTCTATCATTAAAGAGACGAGGTATTTTATATTGTAAATTACTTTCGTGAGTAATTTTTTTCGTTTTCAAGGTAACTTTTAATCTGAAGTAGTAATAACTTATTATGTCTAAATCAGAGCACATTTTATTATCAAAACTACACACATTAATGCAGGGTCATGATGCAAAGTTATTTCTTAGTTGGATTTACTCAGTACTATCATAAAGCTTAAAGGTGAATGTTTTTAAGAAAAATATTCTCTAGAAAACAACAATCGATGAGAATGAATTTTAAAGTACGTTTCAGTTAACAAGAAATCCAAGCTAATATTACTAGTATAGTATTTGCAGCTACTCATAGATAGAGTATATAAAAGTAACTAGTAAGTTACAATATTTACAAACTACAAATGAACAAAACGAATGGCATGTTCATTCTTTTCACAACTCAATTTAAAGACTATGACACTCAACTTTAGAAATTTCACCAAGTGGAACTGATTTCAAACCTGTGACAAAATTGTTAACAATCAATAACTTATATTAGTAACTCACAAACCCTCACCATAAGGAAAGAAGAGACATTGTGATACGTTAAGTGTACAACACAATACAACGCATGTAGATGGCGGCAACAGACATATGCTATAAAAGACATAAACATCATGATACATTAATTTGGATGATAAGTGTTACCGCTTTTCGGTTATCCACCTTTTAGAGTTGACACAACATGCGGTTGTACACCATACCGCTTACAACCCATAAGGTCTGAGATTCTCGTTTATCATGGACATCATTGCTATTTTTGACGACACTACAATAAGAGCCACTAAAATAAGCGATGTTAAAATCTGCATATACAATAAATACTTCAACAGGACAAAAGATTTTTTTCGAAAAGAGTCAAATGAACCTTAAGTTGTCAACTTCACATTGACAGATATGACAAGTGTGAAATCGCTTCACATATTTCCGTATAACAATTATAAAGAGACTACAATGGTGATTAGAGTGCAGACAGTTTGTATACGGTACAGCGTTTACTTGATAAATTTAGTATCTAAAATAATAAAGATATGATGATCATGTTTAAACAAAACAAAAAACGCTAATTCTTAATTTACTAAAAATTGAATCCTTATCTAAATAACGAGAAAATTGAACGTACATATGTTACACCAGACATCAATATACAATTCTATACTAAACTGCGGCGCCGTTTGGTCGTACCCTTTAGGTTCACCAATCATAAAATTAAAATACATTTATAGTGTGATGGGTTTAAGTGGAGTTTTTGACGTAATTACACTTAGATAAAAGTGAAAATGATTTTGAGAAGGCTCAAACAACCTTTTGGAAATCCACTTACTTTCGACTTTTCACTACTTCCATACCATTCACCTCTTGATTTTTGGCATCCATTAAAAGTATAGGTTTACCAGTTTCATCACGAACTTGACCAGTTCCATTTCCCATTAACCGAGATACTTGACTTGGGATGCACCGACCAAGCACTGTTATAGAATACAATCAAATAATTTAGTAAATAAAAACTAAACTAGAAAGTAGTACATCTAGTAGCGATGAAGAGACATCAGAACTCAAAGTAGATAATTATAATAATACAGAAACAAAACGGGTTGTATCATGCTCATGTTTAACCATTTTAAATTCCATGTTATAAAATAAAGATATAATTTTTAGAACTAACTTGATCTAGAATGATATACATATGGGGCACATTGTTTGTCTTGTACTAAATGATCAATACTCTAAAACAACACAATGTAAAACATTATCAAATATATTTGTGAGAAATTAAATGACATGGATACACTGCACAATTATCGTCTAAATCTTTGCAATCAACATATTTTATGACTAACAATATGAATAATAATAATAATAATAATAATAATAATAATAATACTTCATAGAGAAAATTCTACATTTACAAATTTCGCATTTATATAAGGCACAGTTAAATTCCTAATTTTTGATACTGATTAGGATATTCTATGATGTAATTATTAAACAGGTCACCATCTCCGAGCTAACAAATTTAAACCATATTAATTGTGGTCTAGAATATTTGAAAGCATTAGAATTTAAGTAATAAGTGATAAACTGTAGACTGATAAAAGAAAATACTGTCCAAAAACTATCAAGACTGCTATAAACGATGTTCAAATAGTTCAGGTAGATTGATTTAGATCAGAATATATAGACCAGTGAAATTCTAATGGCATAAAGTCATTTATTTTATTTCATCTGATGCTTATAGGTTTATCAGTTATCAACTTAGTGGACGGTTTAAGTAACTTTTGAACTTTAATTTTAATTAAAACAGAATGAAGATCTCAGAAATTATGATTAAAATTCGTTACTAAATATATATATTAACTAGACTTAAATACAGCTTTTGAAAGTGGACTTGATAAAACAAATTTGTTCGCTGAATTCCTTGTTTAATAAAGAATATTTACCAGTCAAAGAAAGAATGGAATAACTTACCTGGTTGGCAAATTTAGGATCATTCGCATCTACACCCCCTACACATATCATTAAACTCCTAACATATTGAAGTTTTTGATCAAAGGGACCTTTCCAAGACCAGTAATATTTTGGACACGATGCTACACAGACCTAGAAATATTAATGTAAATAAGAATGAGATATGTTTGTAGGTAATACAAACAAAACTTTGTTATCGTTAACTAACTATTCATGCCAAAATAAAGGTCGATCTCTGTAGCGGGATTTAGATTGGATTAATGCATGTTTCGTGTAGGATTATGTTGGGGCACTCTGACTGGCTATTTTTTAACAATCAGTGCTAGCAGAGACTCGGAGAAGTCTCTAGAATCTTCTTATGTAAAAACTATAAATATACTAACTTTTTTATTGTGATTCCTAATTCCGTATATAAGTATGTTCCCGTTCAGCCGTATTCTGATTTGAGGACTTGTCGAGTGAAGTAATGTCCAAGAATGCTAAGCAATAAGAGTAGCTAGGTAGTAGGAATAGAATTTATGATCTCCATCGGTTCTGATTATGATTCAGTTACTTACCGAATATCCTCTTTTTTGTGTCAACTTATAATTCAACAATCTTATGCCATACTTGTCACATGAGAGCTAGTGGTGCTTCTGGTTGTGATGTTAGTCACACACTGTTGTGGAGGACGATTTTAGTGGTTGATGAGACGGGTTTCCGATTGCCAAAATCAATGAATGAAACCTTAATTGATAAACGAATCCAATAACAAATTGTGGTTACTCAAGAGACAATAACGTTAACTGGAGCCCCCAACTAGTTAGAAATCGAATGTAAAACCGCTAGCCAAAAGAATATTCATTTTCTAACAAAGTAACATGCTTGTGTACACAATCTGAATACAAAATAAGCATGAGAAGAGTCACAGGCGATGGGAACTTAGTTGGTCGGTCACTCAATCGCCGATCAATTAAGACCCCACTGTTAGGTCAAATTATTGGATATCATATCACCCACCCACTGGTTGATTGGAAAATGAGTGCCAGCTGAATACAAAATCGTGAGCTTGATCCTGTCACTCAGTCAGTAACAAGGTAGAACTTCGTACGTACGTACATCAGTTCGAGTTGCCACACCACATTAGCACAGAGATGCAGTGGTCGATTCAAATCCCGTAGTGGTAGAGGTAATGAGGGTATAAACAGTAATCGGGAAAATTAGTGTTTGGAGATGTTATTTAAGAAGTATAATACAGTGAAATAAATTTGGGAAGAGAAAAAAAAGAGACAAGGAGGAATAAGGAGATCAAAATTTGGGAGAACACAAAGAGTGGATGCACCTGCGCTATTGCAAACGATTTTGAGCCATGTCATTCAGGGTCTCTAACCATCGGTTGCTATCATCTCGCGGTCCCCAACCAGGTAGTCTACACCTACCGACATGACTCAGTCCACTTGTCAGTGACTTCATGGACTTGTGCAATGTTTTGGTCTGGCCGCCCCTAGCTTTCTTACAACCTACTCCTATACCACTGAACATCGCACGTCAAAGCAGTCGGTCGTTGGGCATACGTAACACGTGTCCCAGCCATCTCAACTGATAAAGTTTCACTACGTCATCAATTGATTTGCCATCCTCACATAGTACCCGTTTCCTAACAACTGCATTACTTACTCGATCGTCACAGGATATACGAGCAATATTTCGAAGACACCTATGATCAAATATTAATAACCTACGGATAACCTCTACTCTTACCGGCCATGTTTCACTGCCATAAAGTAGGACGGAACGAACTGCTGCTCAGTAAACCCGTCCTTTGGTTGGTAGACGGATATCTCGCCTACGCCATAAATGACGCAAGTTGATAAAAGCTAGTCGATCCTTCTGTATCCGTGCTGAGATTTCGTCACACACCAGACCACAAGGGCTGATGAGACTTCCAAGATAAGTGAAGCGGTCGACACGCTCAATTACTTCACTCCCTATCGTTAGTACGGGTGTCAATGCAACCCAATCCTGAAGTAACATTTTGCATTTCGAGGGGGAGAATCGCATCCCGAACATGATTGCATTGTTGCTTATAGTGGTCAGAAGACTCTGCATTTTGTCAGCATCTTCACCAAATACAACTATGTCATCGGCATATTTCAAGTCAACAAGTGAATCTCCCGGTAGAAGTTCAACTCCTTGAAATTTAGATGAGAGTGTTATCTCTAAAAGCACGTCAACGACAAAGTTAAACAAGAATGGGGAGAGTGGACAGCCCTGACGAACACCACTTGAGGTAATTAATTCTCAAAACAGTTCGCCATAAGCTCTCACTCTACCAGTTGTGTTCGAGTAGAGAGCCTTTATAAGGTTAATGTACTTCTTTGGTACTCCTTTCAGTGACAAACACTGCCATAGAACCTCACGATCAACAGAGTCAAATGCCGCCTTAAGGTCGAGAAATACTACCATTGTTGGGCGCCTGAATGTGTGTCTGTGTTCTAGAACCTGACGTAGTGTGAATATCTGGTCTATACAACCACGTCCAGGTCGAAAACCAGCCTGATTTTCTCTATTCTGTTCTTCACGAGCTTTTGGTTAGGCGTCGAAGTATTATTGAAGCTAATATTTTAGACACTATATTAGTCAGACTGATTCCTTTGTGATTGTCACAAGAGGACTTTTGTCCTTTCTTATAGACTGGCACAATCAGTGATTGAGACCAGTCAGATGGGATTACGTCCAGTTCCCAAATTCTACCTAAGACCTCAGTTAATCTCACTGCTAATACTGGATCACCATCCTTAAAAATCTCAGGAGTAAACCTGTCAGGGCCTGCTGCTCTCCCTCGCTTCAGACTTCCTATGGCTTTTTCAACTTCGTAAAGAGACGGAGGACCTACATTAACTTGCCACTCAGGTTGACTGGAGATCGTGGGGAACCGAAGTGTGGCTAAAGGCCAGTTGAACTGATCCCTAAAGTGTTCTGCCTATCGATCCAATCCCCTGGATTGAGAATGTATAATATGTCCATCTTTCTCTGAGATTGTTTTGCTAACAGTCGGTTTCCTAATACCGGTTTCCTTAACGAGTCTGAACAATTGTCTGCTATTACCTATTGCCGCTGCCTTTTCCATCTCTCTTGCTTTCGCTACCCACCACTGTTCACGATCATTGCGTAGACTTCTTGTCAGCTTGCGCTTAAGCTGACTCCGCTCCTCATTATGTTCAGAGCCAAGGGGAATGAGTTTCCGAGCATCAATCAGTGCGATAGATGCTGTTGAGATCCAGTGTTGCTCCTTAACCTTACGGGTTACCGTACTAGCAGATATCACTGCTGTTTCCACAGCTTTTCGGATATCATTCCATGCTGCCTCGGGGTGGGCATCACATACATGGCTGCCTAACTGTTTTCCTAGTTGTTCCTGAAATATACTCTTAGCTTGACTATCATTAAGTAGGCCCCTAGGAGGTTTCCTTGCAGCGTCTTCCTACGTCCAGTAAGACGCAGACAGATACGCGCTCGTACTAGAGCATCATCCGAATCTAAGCATGTGCTCCAGAATGAGCGACAGTCTTCTATCGAGCCCCTCCATCGGTGGCTGATAGCGATGTGATCCATTTGGCTCGAACGTTGGGACGAATTAGGGGGTCGCCATGTCAAAAGATGTTTTTCCTTATGCTTAAAGTTAGTATTTGCAAAGAACAGGCGGTTATCTGAACACAGCTGCAACAGACGGTCGCCATTATCTGTTCTTTGAGCCACGACACCATAAGATCCACCTAGGTGTCTTTCCCTATTGCTTAGTTTACCTACTTGAGCATTAAAGTCACCGGCCACTATTACTACATCCGAGCGCCTAGCTTTTCGGAGAAGGTCCGAAGGCTTTCTGTAAAACTCATCTTTTACATCATCTGAGCTGCAGTCAGTGGGAGAATAGGCAGAGACGACGAAGAGGCAACGACGAGTGTCCCTATCTTTTCGGATCCTTACTGTTCCGTTCAGTCGGACAGCGCACAAACGACTGTCTACTGGGATCCACTCTAAGAGAGCTAGTTCTGCCCTAGGACTCAATGCTACACCTACGCCGGCGAGGCCACGGGAAGCAGAATCAGGGCTTCCAGATACGCGAAGTGTGAATCGAGTTGGTTCTTTATTTTGGCATGGTGAGGTCAAATGAATGACGCTACTCGGATCCTGTATGCGCGTTTCGGAGACGCAGCACACATCGATGGCGCGGGATTCTAAAGTCCTAGCTAAGGAAGCCTGTTGTCCTACCTAGCAGTGTTCGGACGTTAAAAGCTCCTACGTGTAGTTTAGAGCGTGGTGTCAGGAGACCAGGAATAGCGTTCCGCGTAATGAGGTTGCGGGTAAGCAATGTCGAAACTAGTGCTTCTAACTTCGAATGATTCTGAAAATGATGTTAGTCTGTTACGATAACTAAATTTGTACGAAACATGTTCACCAAAACGGTCTCAAGGTATAAGCTTTAACTCGGAATACAGTGAGTGAAATTTCACAATTACCGGATAAACAAAAAGTTGTTTTAATACAACTTCGTTTTTGAGTTTATGAGACATGTTACATGAATTATATATATATGTATCAAAATACTTAAAAACGTGTAAAAATTTTATACCTGAGGCGTCGGGCACCCTGTAACAACTAAAGCTGGCCCCAGTCTGAGACAACTTTGCAAATCAAAGAAGAACAGATATGGTTTACCACTAAACAAAATAGGAACGAAAAGTATAGATGTATTAATGGTGAATTTACGTGTGACCTCAAATATACATTCTCCAAAATTCAACAATGAGTAACTACAACGAAAAATAAAGCACTTGGTTAGATTTCTTTGGGTTTAAATGGTGAAAGTTGTATTTCGTTTACTTTCGAAAGTGGTGATAACCATGTTAATTCACGAAATAATAGGACCACCATACACGGATATCTATATCAAATCATGAGTGCACTGAAAAAAACTCGGATTCCCAGATTGATGTATGCTGAACAGGGTTTAGACCACTGAGCTTCATTCTCGCTATACATACGAAACACTAAGTTCAGAACATTATACCCATATTTTTTTAACGAGGTCAAGACAAGTATTTGCAAAATTATTACTGATTAGTGTTAATGTGCTCAATGAATACGATCGTTACTACACCGAAAAGGCTTATTCTAGAACTGTCATTTCAAATGGAGTTTAAAAAGTGAATGTTTATAGTTCACAATTAATTAAGTATACGCGGATTATCTTCACTACCATAATTAATTTCTCAAATGATAGAAGTCAGTTGTCACAAACAGGCTGTCATTCTCGATAATACAAAATATTAGTTGCAAGAATAAAGTACAGTTTATAAATCTATCAGTAGCTGATCTTATTTATGAAACATCTGTTAATAAAGTGAATTTAGAATATAAGATCTGAAAGCGACTGAATACTGTCTTAAAAACTAGTGAAAAATGATTTGGATGTTAGACAATTTCATGTACCAATAAACGCTAAATCATAGGACATTCAGAAATCCAGATTAAATTCGTACAATGTGCAAGATTTTGTTGTTGTGTGTTAAGTAAAAAAAAAATTGTCAGCAAGTTATTAGTGATACGTTCGTGAACTAAGCTAATTATGAGTAATTTCAAATTAAATACGATGAACGAGACCAGTACTGTCCCCTTTTCGCTAAGTCCCGTTTATACACAAGCTTTCTTAATAGAAACCCAAGAATTAAATTATGTTCAAGTTGATTCAATTATAAATCAATCTAATAATAATTTTTCACAAAATTTTGTCAATTGAGCAATTGTTACTGAACATAAGATCACTGTCAATTAACCGATAAAAGGAAAAATGGATTTAAATCCAAATAACTAATTATAGCTGAAGAATAGAATTCACTCGAAATAAATTAGTAAAATGAAAATGAGTTGTTACTTGACTGAACAAAACTCATCTTAACTCGATATCCTTGTCTTAATGATACGTACCACGTCGGAAGGAAGGTTTAACATTACGAACAATAATATGGGTGTAGAAATTTCGAGAATTTTTTTAAAAACCCTATAAACTAATTTAGTTGATTAGTATTTATTTACCCAGGAATTACCTTTGATTCTCACTCATTAAAAGGTTTACCACTTGAAAAATTCAGCAAATCTAGATTGTTTTCTCAAAGCGACTTAACAATGAGTACGCTATGCATTGTGGATTCAATACTTCAACTAATAATAAACGAGCTAAACTCTGTCATATGTAGACAAATACAATATTTACACACTTAACATTTGAGATTTCAGTTTATAAAATTCGATAAACATGAAACATAATCAGACCATCACAAATAATTCACACATGTACAAGAAATGTATGCAAATGTACCGGACTAAATTCATAAACATATTCCAATACATTTAAGGCTAGGTGAATAAAACACTTAAGGATAGATTAATACGAATGATACACACCAAAAAATCAGGCACTAAAACAATTAAGCACATACTTTTCGCATAAATTACATTTTGCCTTTGAAATGGCATTTTATGTAAAATAACTACGAAGTAAAAAAACTGGAACATTTTACACAAAAATGAATCCAGCTTCAAAATGATTCAGCTACGCTACGATCAATGACGATGTTTAACTTAAAAAGTCAGTTAGTAAAGATATCCTCAAAACGCTTGGTGCTTTTATAGCTACTTTTCATATTATCCAAATAATCATTAAAACATGCCCTCTCGATTTAAAGCTAATTAACCCTTGGAATGTATGAATAACCAATTATATGACTGCAATTTATTTATTATTTATTTATTTGAACACATAAATATTGGTACAAGAGAGCGCCAATATATATGCGCCACACAAAACAATGAGAATGCGAAAAGAAATAGAAAAAAAACTAAGGAGCGCAAAAGAAAAAGAGAACAATAACGAAGAGATTGGTGTAAGGTAGTGTGGTAATAATGAGGGAACGGAAAGGTACAATCAGAAGAAATCTTTCAGGTAAGGAAGACACAACCACTGTTTATGAAGAAAGTAAAAGAAGGTTACAGCAGGATCGCCACTGGCTTCTATTCTGATCCATATCTGATAACGTCTCTAGCCACTGTGTAGCACCATCTCTCGGACCCCAACCAGGGAGTCGTGAAGGACCGACAGAAGCCAGTCCTTTGCAGCTTTCTTTCATGCCACGACACCATGTAATGCACTGACCACCTCTCCGCTTCTTCCAACCAGTCCCAGAGTCAGCAAATAATGCACGACGTGGAATTCTCTGGGATGACATTCGTAGATGAACTCCTTATGTCTATGGAAATTACTCTTTATGTTTATGGAAATTACTTTTCTCGCTTCGAAAAACAACCATATGACTGCAATAAAATGTTTTGAATTAATCGGGGTAGAAAGCAATATTCTAACCACAATAGACCCAAGAAAAAAGTGACTCTATGTTCAGAAAAATACAAATTGTAGTCAAATTTTCCCTTAAAGATACACTAGGCATTGAAGGAAACCAGTTTCGAAGTAACATTTACATTTGTAGTCAATATCGCAACCAATCATGTATTGTTATTCAGTGCAATAAGATTGAATTAGTTAGTATCATCCTCACACCATCAGAGAGTCATCAGACAAATATTACTACTTCTCTGAAATCATATTTATAACAAAAGCATATAAAAACAATGACCAGTGGGAAGTTGGAGAATAATTACAGACCAACTAAACTGTTCCTCAGTTTTCCAATTATCATTGTAATCACCTAACCGGGAAAGACATTCTTGATGTTTCTCATTGCAGCAATTCAGCTAGTGGCAGATTTTGTTTTAACATCTACAGTGAGCATCCAATGTTGTCTATCATTACTGAATGTTCCACACTTTGTTATCTGCCCGTTCTCAAGATCACTATTTTTCTTATCTCAATAATTTATATTTTCTTATTTAGTATTGTATTCGACCCCTATCTTTTCTATCCCCGTCAATACTGTTACTAACTCTAATACTGAGATTTGCCCTGACAATTTCATTTCATTGTGTTAATGAAGTATGGCAACTTGAATTGATATACACAAATCCCGTGTTCTACATTGCGTATAACTAACTAATGCAATTAATATTTAGTCGTTTCGTTAATCTACACTTACGTTCTTTAGTTCATCATTACGTTAATATAATCTACTAATTGAGAAGCTATAAGAATCCATTGATCTTGTTGAGATTAAACCAAGAACGTTTTGTGTTGTAAGATGAATGGAATCTACTCCAATTTATGTTTTAAACCTTCCGGAAATGTACTAATTATTTATGTACATTCATTGAATTCATGTGGATAGAACCAAATCAATCGACAAAGTGATAACTGTGGAAAGTACTTATGATTTTAAGGGTATAGTACGGAACTTCCTCACAAAATAGATTGGTAAAACTACATCTTTTTTACTAGATTATTGCATATCCAACAGACTGAGAGCACGTGAAATCTGATGAATTCATTACACGCTACTATGTCCACTACTTACGCTCTATAAGATTGATAATATGATTCGTCAAGTGATCTCGAGATCACCAATTCACATAACTCTGATTAAATATTGTTTTCTACATTTTATTAATCATCCACTATGTAAATAGTTTAGTGTGGGAACTAATGTAAGTTGAGCCTGATGCTATTTTATATGAAAAATGTAGTTTTCCAACTTTTTATCACTACAAAATAACTGATTATTGCCATTTTATTACTTATTCAAAAAAACATTCAAAACATTGTGATCTGTAACGTATAGGGCACGTTATTTCTACCCCCCCCCCAAAAAAAACGTGGCAGTTGTATATTCGTAAACAAAAACGTTTAAAGTTTGAGAACTTACGGAACATCACGACCACAAACTTGTCCCTGCGAATTAGTTGGATGTACGACACGTTTAAAGTCTCCCATGGCAAAACCTGGTGTGAAAGGTCAACAAACATCTTTACTGGGTAATTAAACATAAGATAAGCCATAACACCCTTTAAGATGTTTGTGAAACACACTGTTATGTAGATCAACTAGGGATGTTGGACTGTTCCTAATAAAAGGAACCTAGTGAAACATTTGTAGCCAGTTTCAACAACAACAGAAGTCCTCATGTATACGGATATATAGTCAGTATACTAGAAAATAGCCATTCATTAAGATCTGAACTGTTTCACAGAAATTGAGGGACATGCATATAAAAAACATATAAAATTGTGCTTATAAATTGAAATCAAAATAGCTCCAGGGTTTCCCCTGAGCTTCACAGGAATTATCAAGGACAAAAATGAAAAATCCGAACAGCTGAAATGAGAAAACATAAACAATGCTTGAGACACGTTCCCAAACCTTTGGAAGCTCAAGAAGCTTGGGGATTAATCAACAACAGCACTATATTCAATGGGAACGGGACACCAAATCAAGTTAGTTGCATCGTGATCACCGTTGTTTATACAGACAGAAATATTCTGGCCATTAACTCTTGACTTGATTTGTACCAACAGCAAAACGGAAAACAAAAACAAAGTAATTTTAATTGCTTAGTTGATCATCATGACCAGATTTATCTGTAGTTGCCTTTAATCAAGATGACAATGAACAATCTATTTCTCAACAACAACACACTGGCATGCTCAATTTACTCAAATGTACTTTCAGTTTTATGGTAAACACAGATAGGTGGGATTCAAGTTGTACCCAAAGACTTAGTTGGCTGAAATTAAAAAGTCAGTAACAACGTAGAACTTCGTACGTACGTATATCAGTTCGAGTTGCCACACCACATTAGCACAGAGATGCAGCGGTCGATTCAAATCGCGTAGTGGTAGAGGTAATAAGAGTATAAGCAGTAATCGGGGAGATTAGTGAAATTAAAAAACAACATATGCATACAACTTCGCACAGGTAATTTTGAATACACGTAACACGAGATGACTCATGTTTTCACCACAGTCAAAAGTGATATTTTAGCATGGTTGGACGAGCTTATAATGTAGAATTGTTTTTGAACTTATTTATTTAAGATGATTCTGAGTTCGATTATTCACCAGAAGTTCGAAACGGGTTCCTGTGAGAAACGTTGGCAGTAAAAGCAACTGGACTACTTATTTCATTAATTAGAGCCTACAAACACGCTATATATATTGTGCTTATAGATTGAAATCAAAATAGCTCCAGGGTTTCCCCTGAGCTCCACAGGAATTATCAAGGATATATATGACCCAGTCGCTGATAAAAAATATCCCTTCTGTCAATAAAATGAAATTCCCATCAGACAGATTTTAATATCCAAATTAAATTTCACTACAAAAACCTGTACATTTAAAAGTCCTAATTAGTCGCAACAAATATAAAATAATATTGGCAAAAAGCAAGTGGAAACTTACTCCACAAAGTAACGATAAGGAAACCAACGATGAATATTGCGAACAATATACAACAAGGAATATCTGTACATGTTCTGTCAAAAAAGAAAGCACGGAAACACTAAGTAAGAACTAGAGGTTTGACTGTGAATGAAGTAATTTTGAGTGCTGTTAGTGTATGAAGGCGGTTGTTACTTTACTGTACGCCACACAGTAGATCCCTCCTTGGAATACGCGAAAGGAAATCTGGATTAGTGATGATCTCGATGGCCTGGACTACGAAAGTAGTGCCTAAGAGACAACTGTTTGAGACCACATTCAGTAGATGAAAAAATAATTTAGGGACCAACCAATCAGGTATAATAAAAAAGGCCTTGGATTTCGGCGCGAGGTTTACTCATCCATTTGGTTAAATAGCGTTTTGGCATTACAGCTGATGTCAGTTGGCGGTGAAAACCTTAAATCTAATTCCTAACCTTAACCATCAACTGTAAATTATAATTACAATTCCTCACACTGGTTTATAACCCACATTTGGTCCTAGTTAGTAGTAGACACACACAAGGTCAATTTAGCGTCACTCACAGGTCGTCCATAAATTATAGTCTCACCGGAAAAATCAGTGCATATAGTAGTCACTTGAGGCACTTGTGGTATAGCTTAAGACTTTTTACTTATCATATCTACAAAGTTCCTATCACTTTTTGATGGTTTGGTCGACCAAACCATCCACCTCAGAGAAAATAAACTCCATCAAAGTCATTCACCTGAGCTAAAAATCTTTCCCACCATCAAATCACTTTAGGGTTAAACGACCATTTGGTTCAACCAAGGTCTGAAATTAATTAGAGCCTCGTTAATTGTTGTTACCGGCTGTTATATAAGCTAAGAAATGTCGGCATTGGAGGCAATCTATTGATGTGGATAAAAGACTTCCTAGTCGGGCACCAACAAAGAGTATGGATGAACTCAGTTATCTAGCTGGAAAACTGTGCTTATTGGAGTGCCCCAAGGTACAGTTTGGGGGGCAGTGCTATTCCTCTTGTATGTAAATGACCTCCCTCGTCTCCTATCACCATCGGTCTTGCTACATGCTGACGATGTCAAGCTGTGGAGAACGATACGATGTAAGGGTGATAGAACCTTATGGTCAATACGTAGGGTTTTTGTCATGTCGACGCTAAAACGTTTTTGATTTTGTATAGTGTTCGTACGTCCTAAACTTGATTACTGCATACAAGCGGCTAGCCCCTGCTTAAGAATAGACAATAAGCTTCTGGAAAAGGTTCAGAGAACAGCAACTAAGCTGATTCCCGGAATAGCTAAGCTTCTGTATGATGCTCGACTGGCCAAGCTAAACCTATTCCCGTTGTCATATCGTAGAACTAGAGGCGACTTGATTAGTTTTCAAATTGCTTAGTGATAAATTTGCACCCGATATGCCTTCATTTTCCGTGTCTTCCAGAACAGAGAATTTACGGGGACACTCCAAAAGCGTTCACAAGCCCAGAACAAATTACTTGTCAGCTGACTATCGACTTTCCCATCAAATCATCAACGAGTGGAATTCATTACCTCAGCATGTGGTTGAGACTCCATTCGTCGGCTCTTTCAAAACAATGTTGGATCAACTGAGAGACCACCATTGCCAGGACTAACACAGGCCATCAAGCCTCCTGTCCTTTCCAAACTGAAACTTAATTGTTGTAAGGTAATAACTTAAAAAATGTATCAGATGGAAACGAATGTATTGTCAATCTGCAGTCAGTCATACGGACTTTGACGACAAACTCAGTCAAGCTAGATTATCCTAATTGGGCTAAAATGAAGAATTGTTGTAATACGCTCTCAGGATTCAAGAATCAAAGGTCACGTGGTGAGCAAACGAGAATTTGCAAGTGGAATCACTAAGCGTAACTGAGTTGTGGTAGGGAAATAAGTGAGCTCCAAAATACGTAAATTCCACACAGGAATGTTTTTCGGAAGAAGCACAATAAATGATTGCATTAGGTATATGTATAAAACACCTACCTATTTCGTACAGGGCCAATGGTACGTATTGTTTTCGAACCTGAAAATTAGGGAATTATTCACATTTACATAAGAACTTCTGGACTTCACTCAATTAACAACTTACTGATGAAAAATGAATTGGGGAGTATGGGACATTGTTAAGCAAGCACAGCAAACGTAAAACACACGACCGTCAAATTATAGACGAAAATATGAATACTACACTTAATTACGATTTCCTGTCAATTTCCGTTACATAAAACATCCCATAGGACTGACTGACAAAAAGTGTAATAATCTGTGAACGAAGTTAGAGATGTTATAAACGTTATTTAGAGTTTCGGAATTTTTCTTCAGCAAAATCAAGTGAACAACAAAACGAAACTTGAACAATTTGTTCACCACGGGTTTTGGATTCCACATATTATAGGCACAAAAAGCGGTATATTTCCTACGTAATTATTGATGCTATCCATGTCCTGATCGTCTTCAAGTAGTTTTGTTGGAATTAGTATCACCTTGAAACAAATTTACATCTAACAATTATAACGGGTCTACACGACTACTGCAATTTATTTTACTTCCAAACGACAAAGGGATGAGTACAATAAACCACAAATAAACTACCTGTATCCCGCGAATGTCCACAGCAGCCCATATTTCGCGCCAAATGTTTTGAATTGAAAGATGTGACAGAAGACAGACTTTCACTTACCAATAGATTAAAATATTAGTTTCAGTTTTCAGTCCTCACTAATAAGGAGCGTAGATTGGTGTACCTTTTTTAATCGTGCCAGTTTGCCTTCCAGTGAAGGTTTAGCTTCTCCTTGGAAATATTCACTGATGCGGATGACAAAACTTGATCGGGTAAAGCGTTTCAGTCATTGACCACTCGATGAAAATAAAACGGCATCCCACTTCAAGTTTATTAGATCGTGGTTTGTGAACCCTCTTACTATGACAGCGGAGATTAATAAAGCTGGAGGGGGCATAAAGATAATGCATATTAACAGCCAAATCGTAATTAAAGATACGAAGTGCCAATATAAGGTCACGTATTAACATACGATACAAGAGGAAAACGTCCGGTCGTTCTAAGCACTCATCGTAAGGGTGTTTAGAAATACCCTTCACTAATTTAGTTCACACACGCTGAACACGCCCAGGTGAGTTAGTATCCTTAATAAGACATGGGCAGCAGTAAATAAATCCCCGAAATCAATAGCTCTGTAAGTCCTCGACATTGGATACTGATCACATTAGTTTTAATGGACTCACCTAGCTGAGGGCGCTCGGTCATGCATCCGCACCAGATCACGAGTGGAAACGCCGTGCTCAACATCCCCTGCAATTGATAACCAGATTAGATCAGTCGATCCACGATATATTGATAGCCTATCAAATATATCTTCGAACCTCCACACATCTGAGTTTTGATTTCACTAGGTGTGTACGATTCATATTAAATGGTGCCACTGGCCAAAGCGTTGTCAAACTCCAAATACCTGTGGCATCTTTAATACTTATTATTTACGCGTTCTCTTAAACAGACAGACTGTGATTGTGAGATCCACGCTCAGTCCGAGTCAATTATCTTTGTCCAAAAGCTAGATGAACTTCAGGTTTGTAAACATGAATAAGTATACCCTACGTCCAAGGGTATGATGATGAGAAGCTTTTGATAAACTGTTTGAAAAAGAATAGTTGGTTTCACAGGCTTGTTTAGACGAATACATTTTACAGTGAGCACCTAAAAACAGCTTGTCTGTTTCCGATAATGAAATTAGCGATGTGGATTCTACTGATCTTCAAAAGTCCATTATTGACCACCAAAAACTTCGACTTACAACCACAGAGGGCTAATTTCTGGAGATTCAAAACTCAATTATTATTTAGTTCACTTTGCTAGCAATAGAAGTTCATCACAAATAAATCCCCTACTATTCCAGACAGTGTATGCATTAGTACAAAGTTTCCGTGAATACACATCTGTGGTGACCGCAGGATGACACAGAACAATCACTACAAATCATCCATGATCATGAACACTTTCCAATTTAAGTGACAGAACACTGAAAGCTAGGTGAATGGTGAAAACTAGCGAAGGCCGAAATGCCATCACGGGAACATTATCAAAACTTAAAGCGTGGCACTGCAACTCCTTCAACTTTAAATTAAATATATTCATTTGTGAATTATACAGCTTCTAAATGCCGTTGCCGCCAGTTTTCAACTCAGACCCTCTTTACTAATACAAGTCAGTAGGAGAAATTTTAAGACCTCCATAAATGAAAGACAAATCCTTGGCAATCTGAATTTTAACAGCACTTCCAATGTGAACTTATTCTAAAAGAAGTACACGTTCCTCTTGGATACATATAAAATAGGTTGCTATATTTCAAGTGTTGATTAAATTTGTTCGCACTAGAATCCAATGCATCTTTGGGGAACATCGATCTTGACTCTATTTTTTTGTACCGACCACCCTGCTTGGTATATGTATATTGTCATTGCTAAGGATTTAGAAAATCAAATATAAATACGAAAGTTGTAATTCACCGACGTCATTCAAACCTCTGTTTTCTAAACGCATTGCCCAAATATCGATCTTCATGTGTCAGCTCTTAGAAATTACGGCTGATTTTAACCAGTCCAATAATAGTAATGAGTTCGATATGAATGGTGATATGCCTAGAGCAAGTGAATCTATCAGAGAGTAAGATTAAGTGCTCTTTTCGTACTTAACACACAAAGTATCTTCGATAACCCTCAAAAGATGTGCAAATAAGGGTCTGTGGACTCGACTGAGCCTTGCAGATAACACTGTGAATCAGAAGACAAAAACTACTATTCAAGTTTGTTGGACCCTTTTATTGTTGACCTAAGTCATGAAGTTACTGTGCATAATTATCCTAATGCTCGTAATGCAACCTATTTAATAAATCGCAAAGCTTCATTTCATCTGCAACACTGATCACTAATGATAATTGATGACCAGATCATGAACGATTGTCATGAAAAAGGATTTTTTGGTTAAGATGTACTAAAGATTTAGCGAAGTATTCGCTCCACATTTTCTTATTCCACTCTACAAGTGTCAAGGAGGAAACAGTGTTGAAATACTCATCAAATCCAACGTGTACCCGTCAGCTTACAGTAACTCCAAAAACCGAATAACTGCTAACGGTTTCAATAATCATTCTCGCTTACACTCTATGTCGAAGTGAGAATCTATGGCTTCTTTGACCAGTACTGCAACTTCACCTAGGTATAGAAGGATATAGCCCAAAACAGGTGAATGAACTCTAAGAGATATTTTATTATCACCTACTTAAATTCATGTAAGAGACGAACGGAGCTCAGAGTAGTACGTATGTAGTAACAACTAATTGGCTAAGGAAGTACAAAGCATTCCTAGGATCCTGGTTATCTTGATGTGGTGTTTGTATTAACAAATGATTCTCTTGTACTTGATGCGTGCCTGATTTCGAATTCCAAATACAATACGTTCGTTTGTGATCACATAGTTATATTCGGATCCTTAGTTCGCATATTAATTCAAACACTCCCAACTATCACACTGGAGTTGTGACGGAGCCTGTGATTGAACAATCGTAAATGCATTCAAATTTTAATGCTTTTAAGGATTATATGGAAAGGTTCGAAATCTGGATTATGACCAAGGAAGACGATGAGTATGATAATATTATGGCTCATTTCCTTACATTCATCGGAAAACAGACCTATAGCTTACTAAAATCTTTGACATTTCCAGGAAGCTTATTTCACTTCCTTATACAACTCTCCAGGAACTCTTGCATGACCATGTAAAGTGCTATACAAAAGAAAATGTCCTAAAATAACTCGTCAGGACATTGAAAATTCCGCTACACTACTACGTCAGCCTAACCGAATGCGTGAACAAGGTTATGCAAATACCAATTCATTGAGGCGTTGCGAAGCAGGTCACGAAGATGAGCACAAGTTTGGTAAATGTTTGTCCTGTAGCTCAATTTTGATTACCATTCGAATGATTTCATAACAATTGTTGTTCATCCTTATCATGAATTCACTTCTAATGAGTCCTCTAATCAAAGTAGAAAATAGGCCTCAAATGAAGCAACATCAGTTATAACTTGAGGATATGAAAATCCAACATTATTTCATGAAGGAGTATAGTGTTGGAATGTCAGTGATTTCAGTACACAGGACCCAGTTAAGTCCGTCCCCATTTCAGTCGCTAATTTCAACACTAAAGAGTATGTTCTAGATCATACAGAGGCTGTATCCAGTGCATAGTCAGACAGACATACAATGAACCTAAAGGGAAAGAATACAATCGATCACAAAAACTTATATTTCAATTTAAGCTGTAGCGATTTTTGTATGAACTAATGATTCTTTTGTACTTAACGTCTACTTCAAAATGATTTCGGAAATAAACATCAAATTGACCTTGATCTGCTATTGAAGCAGAACTAATTGAAGAACTGTTGGTTATAAATACTTTACAATATATTTTTACAACCTGAGTATTACTTTCATCCTTCAGACCAGTTAAACCATCTTTATTGACACAGTTTGAGTTAAATTACCACTCACTCAAAGGGGAAACTTCAAATACCCGCTCCAAGTTTTATCAGACAACTTAATTAGCTCTTTCGTTACTTCGAAGAGAAGCCTATACAGAGAATTAAGATTGTTTGCAGCAATCAAGTCTCAGAATAAAACATTTTGTTAATGACTTTCAGCTATTTTAAGTACCAATTTTGTTAAAATTCATGTCAAAGGTTCTTTATCACCACTCTGGTTTATCACGATCTGGCTGCCACGCATATCTGAACCAACGCACAACTTGAATGAAAACATGAACTCAATTTCCTCAAACGAATGAGAAAAAGACACCTCTTGGTTCACGATCAGACTAATTGGTCGGCGTGCCACTAAACATTTAATAATAATAATAATAATTTATTCTCAAATAACAGTTTGTTACATGAGGCATGCCAGTTTACAGGCAAGATCAAATTGATACAAATGATACAATATACAGTGTATTAAATTACATAGCTGGGTTGAAAATTTATAAGACATGAATGTAGGTAGTTTTAATCAGTACTATAGTTGGCGCGCTTCACGAGAGTTGCGTTGCGAATGTGCGACTGATGGTCAAGAATAGGCCCATTAAAGGTATGGGCTTCTAGAAATCGCAACCTTATGTCCCTTTGGGATATCCAAGGCTTTAAGGGTGGTGCAGGATGAAGTAACCTGTTCCATATCTCAAGGGGGCTGAAAGAGGGAGCAAGTAAAAGAAAACACGAGAGGCAGAGTAGCCAATATTCATGTAGGAATGTTTAAGGTATGATTACTCAGTCTAATTTTCTTTTATTAAGGTATTTGTTAAGAAAGAGCATTTTAATAGGTTAAAGAAAATAAGCTTTAGCAAGGTGTGAGTGGACATACAAGTGACAAATGGAGGCGATTCGGAAAAGAGCTGAGAGTATGAGATTATGTGTGATTATAAAATAAAACATAGTGCTAGAAACAGTATTGTGATATACAACTGGCTATCTTCCTTTTATTATCGAAGCTATTAGAGCCCCTTTCGTTTTTTTTATTTCTTTTTTTTCAGGTTTTATAGGGTCTTGAGTAGGCTTCGTATATTAGCGAATTGTCTAGTTTG